TTATTATTATTATTATTATCATTATTATTGCAGAAAGAGGAGACAGGAAACAGACCAACAGACTCTGCTGGTGGCCATTTTAATTTTGTAAAAAAAATTAAAAAATTAAAGTGTTTTACGGCGCTTGCAACTTCGTAAGGTCACATGAGCGCGCGGGACACATAGATCTATATAAACATGTTCAGTTTGGTTGCAACTAAAATTTTGAATTTTGCCCGGCTGGCGACCAAAGCCTACTCTATCGATTTTAGGACCACCAAGGGATCTTGAACGTGCGCAACTTGCACATGGGACCTCCGAGATTTTTCGCCCTAATCCGAGAAGGCTAGGTATCTTACCTACCCAACGATCAGGGGTGTAGCTGAAAGACAGCAATGAAAAGGAGCAAATGAGTAGCCGAAGAAAGGCTGCAAAAAGAGTCAGGAGTCCAGAGAAGGAGGAAAAGGGGGAAGGGAGAGGGAGCAGAAAGTGGAGACGAAAGCAGAGCCCAGAATATGGTTAGAGAGCGGGAAAGGAGGTGAAAGACGAACATTTTAGAGAGGAAAATTGTCCATTGCTGTCAGGTTTCGAACCCGTGACATATTGAATACGAGGCTAACTGTATACCCCTAGACCACGAGAACCCCTGTGATGGTCAGACCGAAAAAAAGGGGAAGAGACACAAAGAAAGAGACCATACCAACTTTGCTCCAGATTTTGTTGAAGTTGAAGTGAAACATTGTATCGTTAGTAGGCCTATTAGACACAAAGAAGGTTTTTTTAAAATAAAAGACTGAATACATGTATTAATTTCACCCAAAAAACATCCTGTTGATGTTTGTGTAGTGAGAAGCACAAGGACACAATAGTGGTCATATAGTACTGGGATAAAGCAAAACAGACAGAAACAAAAGACGGAAAGTAAAGAAGTAGGACCTGCCATTGGCACCATGAGACCACTCATCACACAAGTGGAAACCAAGAAAAAAAAGCCTTTACAAAGACTGAACATTAAGTTTCCCTTTAAAACAAGAAGCTGAAAATAATCACTTTTATAAACGCAGGTGTTTTTACACTCCAATTTACACAATTTAGATAATTTAGGAGTTGGGCTTTGATTCTGCCTGAGTGGGCCAACCCGCGCTTGGGGAGATACATTTACTATGTGCCAGCAAAAAGACCATGATACTCAATAGAAATTCTCCCCATGCGGGAATCAAACCCAGGCCCTCTGCATGCTACTACATATATATTGCTACGGCGGAGCACCTAATTACCACACCAGACATGGGTACATCAAGCCAAGAGAAAGAAGGTCCTGACAAAGGCTTAACATTAACTTCCCCTATAAAACCTCAAGCCGAGAGAAAAAAAAAAAGAGGACAAATATCCAACACACCCAGACCCCAGACATGAATCACAAACTTCCAAGCATTGAGTAAGTTGATAGTGAACAGTCTCATGTCGGCCAAATGCAAACTGGAAAATACTATATATTTTCAAGATCTCGAGTAGCCCACCACAAGACATGTATCTTTTAAATTCAGTTTGACCTACATAGGGACCTTTTAGGGATGGCGTTGCTCAACAGTTTTGTAAGTACCAATTTTGAAAGACAACGACAATACAGAGATATGTACATTTCAACTTAAAGTTAATGACACAAAAAAAACTACACTTGGTAGAAGGCACTGTTTCAAAAAATTCAAAATCATTTTACTTTTTCTAGTGAAAAAAATTTAATGACTTACATTTCCTTTGCAAAGTCTGTGATTTCATAAACAAAAGAAGATGGGCTCCGAGTTGGATGGGAACGAATGCCATTGTGGTCACGTTCAAAGAGAATTGACTCAGTTTATAAAAGAAAGCACCGATCAGGCTGCACTACTGACAAAAGATAAAAATATCTCATTCAGTGTCAACATTATTTGTACCTTTCAAAAACAGGGTTATGTTAAGTTACTATGAATATGAAGATGCTGAGAAATGCAATCAAAATGAGACTACAGAACTCGTGGTTAAGTTAAAGAAAAGATAAGAATGTTATCATTGTTGTTTCAGGTATAATTTAATGAATCATCATCAATAGATAAACATGATATCAATAACCCTGTGATAGAATTTTCTGTTGAAAATACTCACCGTCACTGACATAAAATACATCATCAGGTCCCCATCGCAAACAATAAATCACCATCCAAATGTTACCCCACCATAATAAAGTACATGTACGAGTATGATATCCGTTAAAATCTGCTTACACATTACATCCACTGCAAAAGTAAATCAAACTGAAATTTTTATAATCATACCTGAGATTGTTAATTTGGTTTGTATTACAACATGTAACCTATAATTATCAATTAGTCGCTTTTAAGCACAAGGGGGCTATCCCGAAAAATGCTGTTTTGAGAAAATCGAAGGTAAAGTTTTTGCCCCTTGTTCAGTTTCTTTAAAAGACAAGGAGTGTTTTCTCTACAACTAAACAAATATACACACCAATGAAACCAAATTTCTCCTGTAGGTAGGACAATGTCCACTTTTGGTGCAGGTCAAGATTTCTGGAAATCCCCGAAATATGGGTAAGCCTGCTTGTCCTGAAAAGCTACCAATTATGACCAATTTTTTATTCAAGGGAAATCCCCCTCAACTGAAAAGTACCCCTAAAAATTCATTAACAGTACTTTAAGTGCACCAATGTAATAATAATTTTTAGAATAAAAATAAAGAATCAGAGGTATAAATAACTGTCGTATTTGTAAATGCTGAAACGCATACTCATTCAATTGTATGGCAAAAGATAGACAAGGCACAATTTTTCCTAGGCACAATGATGTGAGAATGATTAGTACCAATTGAAAAACTATAGGATTCCCAGTATCATATCCAAAAAGATAAAAGGAAAAAGCTTCAGCAATCTCTTTCCTCAGAATATCACATTTTCTTCAGATCAAGTGTCCAATATAATATTACAACTAACTATACAATGCATACATGTATTTGTCAATTCTCATTCCTTTCATCCCAAACATCACCCCATAAATATAGTGAGTATTACGTCACTAAATCTTAGACAACAAGAGTATTAAGATGGTCTGGTAATTCTGATATTATGAATACCAAGAAAAACGCCCAAGTGAGTATAGTGAAAAATATAAATGTCATCGCAAAAATACAGAATACCCTAACCCAAACAGTGAGGTACAACATAACAGTTCATATAATAGGAAAAAGTTTCTACACCAGTTTTACCTTAAAAAATAAAACAGGCTAATGTTACCATGAATAGGAAGATGCTGAAAAATGAATTCAAAAGAGAGACTTTTTTCTTAGCAAAGTCTTTGGTCCTCGCTCCTAATGTGAAATGACATTTTGACAGTATAATTCCAACCCTCTAGAATACCTGTTGACCACAGATAATTTTTAAAAAATCTGTTTTTTCAAGCGTCCTTAGAACCACATCTGCAAACCTTTAAATGTAACTGACAAAAAATATTTAATACCCCCCCCCAAAAAACAAGAATGAACAAAACAGGAGAAGACTGGACAATCAATGAAGTGTGGCATGATCTTCAATGTCTCACCGGGTTTCAAATAGTATGTAATAGCTCTGCCACTACCACCTGTGTTGCATCATGTAAAAGTAAAAGCAACTAAATTGAAGTACAAATATAAAGTTGGTCTCAAACAAACAACAAAGACACATATGTATAATATTTCACTTAGGAACAAAGGGAGGGAATCATTTTTTAGAACTAAATACTCAACACATAAGATCATTCAAAAAAAATCAAACAATTACAGGTGGCAGCCTGTGCTTTGAGTACACCTTTCTCCCAAACATTGTGATTGGTTGACTACACAGCTAATTTTTTAGTTTGCTTGGGTGTTTTTAGAAACTAATGTAAATACGGCATCTATTGAGCGTTAGCATTGGGTAGCTAGGAACAAATGCACAGTTCTTCCCATACAAAACTGTCTACACTGACACTGTCTTGTGATGATCTCTACTCTCTACTGAGTTGTGATAACGAAAGAATCGAATCTCTGACAGCTTGCTTGGGCCAAACAATCCTAGGAAGCAAGGGATGGTTGACAGCAGAGGGTTAATCAGACAGTTTTGTTGAAGCTGCAGGCAGAAGATTCCAATAAGTAGGAGAAAAAGCAATGGGGGCCTGATGCAGTTTGTACACTGGTATAACCAGAATGCAATGGAAAACCTGTTGTAATGTTTTCAAGCCAAAAACTTGGCCCGTCACAAGAAAAGAATGGTCAGATAGAAAACAGGACTAGCAAAATCTTGAACAGCTGTTAAGTCTGCTCACACTAAAGATGTTAAACAAAGCTCAGGTGGCTTACTGACAAAACAGAACCAAACTAACTGACAACATATCATTCAATAATTCTTATTTTATGCTTTGAAAACTACATAACAGATGAAAATTTCCTGTTGGGGAAAATCATAAAGTTGGTCCATTCTTAGTTATATAATATGAAATGTTTCATCAACATCAACAACAGCATGCATGTTTTTTGTTGAAAAAGTTCCTTCATACTTCTAAAACGAACCCACATCCAGAGAAGATCTATCCTAATACTGTGTTTCAAGTGACCACAACAAAATTGATACAACATAGTCAAAATGACAGTCTATGAAACCCAATTGAAAGCAGTCTTAAAAGAGTCTGTTTAAAAGTCAGGGCTTGGTTTTCAAAGCACATAGCAAATTCAGAAATTTCATCTAGATCTACCTGAAATCAAACTCCTGAAAAGTCCCACTTCCGAACTGGAACTAAATGAACGGACACAAAATCTTTCATTGAACATTACTTTCCCCAGGCATACACCTGTGAGGTTTTCATTCTAACATTAAAAACAGTAACTTTCACACTGCAACTCTAGAGTGAGTTCCTTGCATGCTCGGATAAAATTTGTTTCTTAAGATACAATGTATTATTAAGGCATTAAAATGATATGGACACTTCACATATGTGTAGAAAAAGCACAAAGCTCGAGGGAAAATCGTTGTTTTTTCACACAAAGTGTAATTAATGCATTAAAATGTATGAACACCTCAAATGATATGCATATAAAAAATAACAAACTCATCATCAACAAGGATTGTGCTAACGTGTAAGTAGAAGGCCTCAGTGCTATATTTGGTCATATGTGTTTGTGACAGGTGTCCTTCCACAACAGAAAAAGAACTGACAGCCATCCTGTAGAGAACAAAAAGAGCAAAGAATGAATATTTTTTAAAATGTCTATTGGCTCATGGTGGAATTAAAAGGATAAAACGTTTTCAATAACAATAAAGAGAAAGCAACTAAAATCATCCCCAAGTTCTGTACTAGGAAAAACAGCCAAATGAAAGTCTTCTTGTTCATTCTCCTCCTTATTAATCAAAATACAAGTCCTATTTTCTCTGTTGTGATTTATATCCGGTGTGCATCGTATGAAAAAATTTTGAAGGCTTAAAGAATGATTTGACTCAGACATTCACATTATGAGAGTTTATAAATCATTACCACTGAACAAGAACTCATTCACACCTAAAACACACCATGCACACAATAAGAATAAAAATGCCTAGTAAAACTGTCCAAGACTGTAAAACTGTAACAACCAAGAGCATTTCGAATACCATTTACCAGCATCATTTGAGACAAATGCTTAATTCTTAGTTACCGCACACCAGTTCAGATGCTGCATTATCAGAACCATTTGCTCAGTGTGTCAGCTGAGCTGATGCACAGCATGGCTCACTTGTTTACCTCCATAACAAAAATCTTTGAAACCCCAAATAATCCTTGTTATCTGTAATTTGTTTTAATAAGAGTTTTACGGCACTTGCAACACAATAAGGTCATATGAGTGCCGAAGATTAGAGGTGTTACAAGAGAGTAACAAACATAAAAATGAAGAAGGAGAGAACACGACGATAGATGTTTGATAGGAAAGAAGGAGCAAACCATACCAGAGCACCCACCAACCACCCACTATCTGTAATTAAACTTGGGATAGTTGAACAAGAATAATTCAGTAGCTTGAGATCAATTTGCAAGAATAATGCCACTAATAATGTTGTTTAAATCACCTTTCATAGAGTTGTCATAAAATTCATCACTACTTTGCTCCTCAGCTGTTTGTATCCATATATTTATATTTGCATTTTCATTCATACAAAACTCACATACGTTGCCAATTACAAACAAATAGTTATGTTCAGTGTTTTGAGCATTCGTTTAAACTCAGTTTGACACGAACTGAAGGTTATATTTATATAGGGGCAGAGTTATTGGGACATTTGTGGTGGACAGTCAGCTCAAAATTAGACCGTCAGCATTTTACTCTTGCCAGTCTACCATTGTCACAAGCGTAAAAAGTACAGTAATTTTTTAAATTTCAACATCAAATCAATTTAAATTTGCTAGATATATCCATAATCGGATTACATTGCTGAGAAATAATTTATCAATTTTAAGTTGAAACTTCAATTACATAATTTAAGTGAACACATTTGTATTGTCAGTCATTATTTTATTTTATTTTGTGTTTCGTACCAACACAAAATTCACATATTGCACATTACAAGTATGTACCCTTTCACAAATAGCACATTGCAAATGTGTAACTGTATTTATTGCAGTGAGTATTATTTCCTACCAAGTTTGGTGTTTATCTTATGCAAATAGGTTTAACATTGGCTTTTGGTGGAGTTGTAGGGAGATTTATGATACATAAGTCATTTGAAAACTGGATGAAAATATGGGCAGCGCAAATGATGAAGAAAAAAAAAGAAGTTAAGAGACACATTTTCTATTTTTACAAGTTTTCTGACAATGGCTCTTTGAGATCTATGAGAGTCAGAAAGGGTGTTTTTTTAAAGTTGTTAGAGATTATAGAAGACAGTATAGTATGACACAAAAATCCCAAACAAGAGTATAAAACGAAAACCTGTGCGGAAGGCAGATCTCGATGGCTTACACAAGCCTTAATTACTCATCCTCATACAGGGTGACTAAAAAAAAGAGGTCCCATTGAAAGGACAATAGCTCAGTCCATCTTTGCATCAATTTCAACTAATCTTCACGCATATAAAATTTAACCAAGGGCCTGGATGTTAATCATTGTGAAAAAAATCCACAATGGTGTTCACAAATAATTAATTCTTTAAAATTTCAACTAAAACAATAAAATATACAACATTTTATAAATCAACCCTCATAATATTATTTTCATTAAAGATTAAACTAAATTTATTTAAAACAGACATTGCAATAGACAGGGTGTCTAAAAAGAGGACCCATTCAGAGTTGTTTATTAGACAACATCCACAGAAACTTCCCTCAAACAATCAGTTGTTTGTTTTAGTAGAGTGTTTATGGCGCTCACAACTGCATAAAGTCATAAGAGCGCCAAGGGGCGGATGTCAACAGACAAGTCCATACAGAGAATCAGGCTTTCTCTGCTCACCTCTCTAGCTTCAACAGCACAAAGTCTGCTTCGACTATCACTATCAAGGTACCCCGCAAATTGTGGGTCACAAGAGTGTGACAAACATACAAAAGAAGAAGAGGAAAAATGACAACAATAAGGATCAGGAAATAAAAAGCAGCAGTTCCCCATTGCAGTTCAGGCACAGTTATGAGCATGACATTGATGAATCAGCCCATTTACAATTCCCCCCTTTGGGAAAGGCCTAGAGACACTTCAGTCAGTAGCACCGCCCCGGGGGGTATCAAGCAATCAAACAGCTGAAACTTAATGTTGAGCAAAGAGCGCACAGAAACAACCCAAGAACACACCATTGAGTTTTTCAAAATGTCAAGGGCGTATATATCTGATTGCATTTTTTGTTGTTTCATACAAGGTAACAGCACAATTTGATCACCTTATAAAACTTTTTCATTGTTTATTTTTTTTCGTCACTTAGTATGACTCTTCTTTATAACTAAGCAAAACAGTTCAGACACAAAGATTTAGAAAATGTCCCATAATATAGCCACCTATCAAGATAGAGACAATCTGAAATGTACATAATTTTAACTGTGATTCCCATCCCTTTGCAGTCTTTTAAGACAAAATCTAACTCTATCTTTAACAACTGTTGCTGCTCTAGAAAATTTATCATTCATTTAATTCATTCTGTGAAACTTATTCACCACTGAGTAAATCATTCACCTTCTTAAGATGCACAGATTGGACCAAGAACCTATTTTAAAAGCAGCAATCATAACCGCATCAATGACAAAAGCAGATGAGCCCTGAGAGTAAAAGTAACATTTTTTAAAAATTAAAAAATTTACCATAACATATACTGGAAGCATCGTCCAGAATTTTGAATGCGGAACAATTTGTGAACCTGAGCGCCTTCTGGAGATGTTGACCATTGAACCAAACACAAAATACAGTATGGAGGAGACCAGAAAGCTGCAAAAAGAAAACTCAAATTAGACGTACAGTCAACGTAGATTACAATTCGAAACAGCCTCTTCCTCTCTTTAAAACCAAACAGAAAAGACATTACTTATCTGCTTATGACACTTAGATACAGAACATTCTAAATATAATGCTAACCTAGATGTCAAAACATTTCCTATTTGCAAAACAAAACAGATGATCTGATTTCATGAACATCTTGCGAATGTGACAGGAGTGGGCTATAATGTACTGACTTTTAAAACACTAAAACAGAGTAAAACTCACAGAGAATCTATAACTCGTCTAGCCATCAAGCCTAGGGACAAAATTGTCTAAACACATTAGCCGTTAAAAGAAAGCAACACCTACGCACAGTCTCAGGCAGTAAAAACTTATCTGAAACTTACATCACTATCAAAACTGTGCCTGCACTTAAACTCTTTGGGGAATTAGAGCTCCGTCTACAAGCCCCAGCAAAATCAAAGGTCAAGGTCATCTGAGAAAAGAAAAATTTCATTTTGAAAACAGACCTCAAGTAAGAATAGGTTTTATAGGATTCACTTCATGATAATCTAATTTAAACTGACATCGGAAAAACTAAAAGCAATTTTGAGTCAAAACAAAAAGAGTCACTCTAGACAAAAAAGGAGACAATTGAAGCTATTTCCTGGCTCTAAATATTGATTTATGGTCAGTATATGGAACAAAATATTTTTAATATTCTTCACAAATAATAGTAAGGCTTGCCTGTAGAGTGTGGACACTTTTTTTTAAAAACATACTACATACATTGTTTCCAGTATTGATGCAAAAAGATAACATATCTGGGCACTTTTATCTTTACATCCATTCTTTGAACTCAATGATCAAATAAGTGGTTGCATTTGAACATTCTGCTAAAATTAAAGATCACATATAAAAAGTGAAATTGACCAAACATGATAAAAATGATCCTGCTGTTTTAAGAAAACAGAATTTTATTACACGAAAGTCACCCCTAAGATCCTGCCCTGAGTGACCACATTCGATAAACATCCCGCATTTCAGATCATAATATTCGGAACAAAACCCCCAGGGAGCACAGCTGATCAACCAAGCAGCGATAATTTGGGTCATTTTACTGCCAATTGCGTCACAGATCATTCACTCTCGTGAATGTGATCACATCTCCCTTGTAAACCTTGATGAGTGGGTACAGAGTTTGCCCCAGTTGGGATGAAGCTGAGATGTGAACTCGTCAATGCATTTGTTTTTCCCAAACAGGGCCCTTGCATTTGGGCCTATTGCTTGAATTTACTTATCATGTTTGGTGGGTAGGGTCTACAAGGCTGAATCGGATGAGACCACATTGAAAAGCAAACTCTGTGCTTCATTTTCATGACCATTCTCTGCGCCCAAATTTGCTAGATAGTCTGGATTTTAATTGGTGCAGTTACAATACAATGGTAAGCAACGACATGAGAGGGGGACTCAATCAGAGATGGAAAACTATAACTGTTGGACAGGGGTGGAGCAAACGGATCAACATTAATCTTTATTGAGGCTGACGATTGGATATGTGAAAATGGCACACCTCCTGCCATTGTGATTGGTCATCAAAGTTAACAAATCCTTGTTCACCATAAGTCATAAACCCACACAGGGGTCATGTCAGTTCATTTCAAAATAAAGAAAGATCATTTCACTGACTGTGGGCCTGACCATGATTCCCCCTGAATTCTCCACCAATATGAATTAGCTATGATACCATTCACCTGAGATCCCCAATATTCCTAGCTCCAAAGCACCAGGATCTTAGGCAGAGACTACTGTAATAGTAATATATAAAGAGCTAAATGTGACCTACAAGGCAATTATTTTGATCAAAATGAACTTTCTTGGGATCTGGGGCTATCCTAACCGCCTTAGTAGCAGAACTGGAGACAAGCCAGTGTGCTGAATGATTGCACTGGAAGGCAACAGTAGTTGCTAGGTTACAAGCTCCTCCAGCAAAAGTCTGGTAGGGTCCACCATTTGGAAAATTGGCTTGGAAGCCATCAGAAGCTTGAGGAGGTTCTAGGGAAAGATCAGAATTTCTGAATTATGGATGGGAACGAGCATTGCTTTACACTTACTTACATAAAAATTTATCATAATTGCAAAACGATTAGTTTAAGTAGTAGCGTTATTTTTGCTGATTGGTAAAATAAGAGGCAAACTTATACATAAATTGCATATTCTGCAAAAACTGGACGACCAAATATTTCTCTTGACAGGCTGCCACTGTCATCTCAGTGAAATTAAGAGCTGCAATCTTGTTATTTGAGAATCATATCATGACAAATTTATGAACATGCATGTGTACATTCATAATTGGATGTATATTACAGAAAAAATATTTAGGCTGAAAGCTAAGTTACTCATTGTATTGACATGTGGACAGATTTGTATTGTCTTTTGTTTGTTTTGTTGCATATAATGTTTGTTTCAGGTTTTTTAAATTCCAGTTCAGCTTAAATTATATTACACAGTTATAATGAGTATTGCAAGGAGAAATCATTTCTGCTCATTTTGGTATTTATTTCATGCAAACAGTTTACATAGGAGCAGAGTTAAAGGGAAATTCATAATGGATATATCTGCTGCAAACTGAGTCATAAAATTTGCTCCGAACAATCATGGAACAGCCTACCACACATTGAAAGTTAAACAATCTCAAAGCACAACACGCCCCAAAACATATCATGTATTAAATATGCCAATGAAAAAAAAATTGTGATAAAATTGGTTGAGTTTTTTTTTAAAGCAATATTTCTGTATCAAAAGGAGAAAACAGTTAAAATCACTTAAAATTTGCAATAGATACCCATCATTGTATTTCATTCACTGACTCCTTTTTTTCATCTTACACCTGCTGTCACCTACGCACCTGTCACCTGTGCACCTTTTAATATTACTTAATCAAGAACATTGAAATCTTACTTGTAGCATTGAAAGGGTTTTCAGAGAATCCACCTACGCTGAGGTTTCCCTGCGTAGAGGAGTGGCAAACAGAGTCATTGGCACAAGGAAGGTCAATGCCCAGTTTATGGCAAAAGGCCATGTGCACGGTGCAAGAATCCGGGGAGCCAGCTGTGGCATTCAAAGGCAGGCAGTGCTCCTTTTGAAGAGTAACTGACCATATTCTACAAAGAAAAATTAACATATATTGATTTTTTTTTTTTTTTTGAGCTTCCATAATTAAACCTTTCAAATTTCTTTCCAATTCTCTGCAAGACATTCAGTGAACAGCATTCTTTTAATTTATGTGCATTATAAATCACTAATTAAAACAACAGGAACACACAAACAACACCACGATATTCAATCACTTAATTGACTAACATTCAAACAAACAAATTATGTCCTTCCATATATATATCCTGGTTGCTCACTGGTCCCATGAGATCATAATTTAATTGCAAACATCCCAATCTACACAGTTATTATATTACCTTCTAAAACTGTCCAAAAAATGCCTTTTCACGAGGCCCATATAAAACTCTGTAAATCCTCCACAAATTTCTTCTCCTCTCACACTCAAACAGCAGTATCATCAGTAATGAATCTAATGTTAGCCTTCTATTGAATGGCAAGGAAGTGGCTATTCTCGCCGCGGGTGAGAATAAAAATATTGCCAGCGTTGGCTATTCTCACCAGTTGTGAAACAGGAAGATCTGTTTTTCCTAATTTCTGAATACTGTCTATCGGTGTGGATGATCAAATTGACTAAAACCAAGAAAAAAAAGATGTTATAGCACAAAAGTAAACTAATCTGGTCGTCTACAAAGATGCTACGGCTATTTGTGAGGCGTGCTGACAAAATGAGTTACTTCTCGCAGTCCACAAATGGAGATATTGACCAAAAATTGACATTATAGGGTCAAAATTGTAAATTTTCTATAGATGCCATATTCTTTAAGTATAACACTCCTTATATTTCATATCTATAAATTGTAAAAACTTCACCTATAAGTGTGATGTATCTATTTCCTTAAGGCCTGAATCCGAGAAGTAACTCTTTTTGTCAGCACGCTTCACATTTCACTTTTCGAATCGAGCCGAACTACGCCGGTCGCCATTTTGTTTTGCTGGAAGTTCTTGCTACTCCTTCTCTCTCTCTCTCTCTCTCTCTCTCTCTCTCTCTCTCTCTGTCTTTCTCTCACTGCCAGCAGACAAAATTGCGCGCTTTCAACACAAGAGCGCTGCAACATTTGTTTACACTGGTATCACGGTGAACGCACACCGGGTGAAAATAGCCAAAAGGTTCAACTGCGCTATTCTCACAACGGATTGATCCTACTCCTTCTCCAAACCAACATGCCAACATTGGACTGGACATACTGGGCACATTAGACTGGAAATAGGAGCTTGGAGTCAGCGACGTGGAATCGGCCGGGGAGAACAATTTAAATTAAACAACTTAAGTTAGAAGTAGTAAAAAAGCTCAATTTCTAAAAGGCCACCGGGGTGAGAATATAGCGCAGGCGAGCCTTTTGGCTATTCTCACCCAGTGTGCGTTTACCGTTATAGCCTAGGCCAACCAGCAAAGCGTTCATCCTGAACCATAGAATTCTGCACTGTGATAACAGAATTGTAGAATTCTGTGCCGTGAACTAAATTTCCAGTGCTCTTGTGTTACTACTGTTAGCCTGAAAGCGTGCAATTTTGTCTGTGGGCAGTGGAGAGAGAGAGAGAGAGAGAGAGAGAGAGAGAGAGAGAGAGAGAGAGAGAGAAAGAGAGAGAGAGGAGTAGCCCGAGAACTTCCGGGCTAAACAAAATGAAAATGGCGACCCGCGTAATTCGGCTTGATTCGAAAAGTTAAATAGCCGTAGCATCTTTGTAAACGGACAAATTAATCATTTACTTTTGTGTTTTAACATCATTTTTTAACTTTATTTTGGTAAATTTGATCGTCCACACCGACAGACAGTATTCAGAAAGAGACAGAGAGGAGCGAGACAGAGGGGGGAGGAGTAGATCTAGCGAGAGCTTTCGGGCAAAACAAAACGGCGACCCGCGTAGTTCGGCTCGATAACCATAGAGCATGATCTTTGTAGACGATCAAATTAGCTTACTTTTGTGCTATAACTTTTTTAAATTTTGCATTTTTGTCAATTTGATCATCCACACCGATAGACATAAAAGTATTCCGAAATTAGGCCAAAAACAGGTCTTGTTTCACACCGGGTGAGAATAGCCAACGCTGGCAAGTCTCACCCAGGGTGAGAGGTTGATCATATTTTTTATTCTCACCCGCGGTGAGAGGTTGATCGTATTTTTTATTCTCGCCCCAGGAGAGGATATAGCCACTTCCTTTCTAAACTGTCAACTCAACATTCACTAGATCTAGATCTAGATCTTACACTCTACATACAAGGTTCACAACACAAGAAGCCCAAAATAAAGATCAAATTAAAAAGTACATACGTGGATGTTAAGTTGTAATAGTCGTAATTGATAATCGAGCACAGAAAAACAAAAGGAGTATTAAAATTTTTTGAACTTGTTGTAGACCTCCTATTAATTAAATTACCTCTAAGACTAAAACTATCGCTACTTTCGCTACTTTTACTTTTACATTCATCAACTTTGTAAAACAAAAGGATGGTGCATGTCAAGGCAACTGATCTAAGAAACAGTTGATTCATGTTCCCAAAAATACATCCAGGTGTCTGCATCTAGGTCTGCTTTTTAAAAAAATATGATTTATTCCGACGAGTTAACTGTAAAGAACAGAGTTTTCCTACTCTACGTTTGCTTTTCCACACAGCGACCTAACACAAACATCAACACTGCCATATTTGAAGTCATGTGACTTTTTTGTTTACAAATAGCGATGTATATTCGCATTTATGACAGCAATTCTAACAACTATCAATCCGTATTAATATCCTAATGACCAGTCGCAATATTTGAAAATGTACATGTACACATCATGTACATTATAATGTATATTGGGGGCTATGGTTTATTATAATATGTTGTTGTTTTTTTAATGCCTCGCCTGCATGCTCGCTAAACATTGCCTTTAGCAAAACATGAACCAAGAGAGTTTACAGTAATACTGTAAATCATCTCTGCAACAACCCAGAGCGTAGGGCATTAATTTTGATGCCATGTTTTATAACTTTCGACCGTCGTTTTATTGATCCTCTCCAGAAATTTGATTATTGTTTTACAATGGCATTTTGTTCTATTTCATTTTTTTTTCAAGCAAATGTTATCAAGTCTTACTCAGAGACACAACCCAGTGATCATCCAACTAAACGAGTGTCACCGACACACACTTGCTAATACATAATGTATTATTATAATGAGCCCTCATAAACCACGCAGTCACAAAATGTTGGAAAGGTTGGGGGGGGGGGGGATACTTTTTTTATAAGTATTTTACGGAGCTCGCAACTGCATAAAGTCATATATGAGGGTGCGGGACAAAGTGAACATTTTCTGTTTGGTAGGAATTAATTTTGAATTTTGCCATGGTGGCCGCCGGAGCCTATAATATAATAATATACGCTCTTATCGATTTTGGACCACCATTAATTAAGGGATCTTTAACGTGCACAACATGCACACGGAGGCCTCCGAGATTTTTCGCCTTTATCCGAGAAAGCTATGTGTTAGATCTTATATACCTACCCTGAAATCTGGTGTGAGGCCGAAAGACAGCAGGAATTGAAGGGGCCAGTGGCAGTAAAGCTTGCCTCAGAAAGAGTCAGGAGCCCAGATTCGAGGAGGAGCAAACTGAGGAGGTGGAGGGGGCAGAAAGTGGAGACGAACGCAGCTGACTGACGGCATAACATGGTTAGAAGCAGGAAAGGAGGTGAAAAGCGAAAATTTTAGAGAATTAAATTTTAAGTCGTTGTCGGGGTTCGAACCCGGGACCTATTGAACGAGAGGCAAACACAGTAACCTCTAAACCAAGAGAGCCCCAGAAGATTATAAGGTGCAAGTTCAATTAAATGAGAGAAAAATGAGCATTGTATACCTTGATCTAGACAAGAACCATGGGTAAAATAATGTATACTTTTTTAAAAATACATATTTAAATAAACAAGGAAAAAAACAATACGTACAGGCCTAAATAGAAAGTTTTGCAGGGAATTATGTCATCTTCTTATCTTGCAATTGCATAAAGACAGGGATCTTGACTTATAAAGTCATTCCCACTTTATGGCATATCCCAGCCTCATTTAGTAATTACCCAAGAGGGCGTAAACAAGATCTTATAGTAATTACGGTAACTGACATCTTACTGATGCCAGACGTGTGGCTCATTATAATTCCTGCTTATATATGAACTGTTCGTACTAGACATAGTTTAAACGCCCAATAAAATATCATGTCGTTGTGATAAAGCTTGAACGGTACGCCTATACTGGAGAAGATTTAATAATTGATGGGCCTATCATTTAGATTCTGTGCCGAGATATTTAATGTGCCTAGGTTAAGTAATGACAACCCCAAATTATAGCACTACGTACGTAGGCCTAGCTAACACTGAAACGATTTAGGTGGGATCGGATCTAGGTGGAGAGTACGGAAAATAGT